TTGTACGCATGAATTTATTGGCTTTAATGTTTTGCACATGTCATGTAGGATAAATATTCAATGGATTTTGGAGATAGAAGTTGGATGAATCTCTGAAGATCCACCAATGAATATATTCATGGAGTTAATGATTTTCTTGATAAAGCATTTGAACGAGCTTCCCAAGGAAATGAAATATTGTGTCCTTGTAAGAAGTGCTTTAATCGTAATTGGCATTGCCGAAATATGGTAGAGGATCATTTGATTTGCCATGAATTTGTTCATGGATACACCAAATGGGTTTTTCATGGTGAAGTATTTTCCTCAAGAAATACGCCACATCCAACCGATGAAGAAGAAACTTCTAACATGCATGACGACATTGATAGATTACTTCATGATACTTTTAGAAATATTGTAGATGATCAGAGAGATGAAGGAGTGAGGGAGGGGCCACATGAATATGCAAAGAGATTTTTTAAATTAGTTGAGGAAGGGAAAGAAGAGTTGTATCCAGGGTGTAAGAATTTTTCTAAGTTGAGTTTTACCATCCGGCTATACTTGTTTAAATGCATTCACAAGTTGACTGATGTGGCATTTTCAGATTTATTAGACTTGATAAGAGAGGCATTTCCATTTGCTCAGATACCCGACTCGTTTTACAAGGCAAAAAAGGTCATAAAAGATTTGGGTCTTTATTATGAGAAAATACATGCTTGCACTAATGATTGCATATTATTTTGGAATGACAATGCAAAGTTAGATAATTGCTCTGTGTGTGGAGCTTCAAGATGGAAGAATGTTCGGAATGACTTAAATAATAAGGTTACGAAAATCTCAGTGAAGGTTTTAAGGTACTTTCCTTTAAAGCCTAGACTTCAGAGGATATTCATGTGTTCTGAAACATCTGTAGCTATGAGATGGCATGATACTGAATGACTTAAAGATGGAAATTTAAGACATCCTGCATATGGTGAAGCTTGGAAGGATTTTGATTCATTGCATCCTAACTTTGCTAATGATGCTCGTAATGCTAGATTGGGTCTTTCAAGTGATGGTTTCAATCCATTCAGAACTATGAGCATTTCCCATAGCACATGGCCAGTTATGTTGATGAACTATAATTTATCTCCATGGACTTGCATGAAGTCGGAGAATATTATGTTATCAATGATTATTCCAGGTCCATCGTCTCCGGGAAATGATATAGATGTATACTTGCAACCACTGATTGCGGAGTTGAAGGAACTATGGGAAGTGGGAGTTGAAACATATGATGCTGGTTGCGGAGTTGAAGGAACAATTAGTGATTTTCCAGCTCTAGCAATGCTTTCTGGATGGACCACCAAGGGGAGATGGGCATGCCCCACTTGTAACCATAATACTTGTTCCCAATATCTCAAACATAGTCGCAAGATGTGTTACTTGGGTCATCGGACGTTTTTACCTCCTGATCATCCATTCAGAAGAGATAAAAGATCATTTAATGGTAAAGAGGAGCATAATGTTGCACCTACTCCATTATCAGGTGCACAAATTCTTGAAGAGCTTCGTGAATTCAATAATGTATTTGGAAAGAACAAAAAGAAAAGAAAACGAAAGAATGATGGTCCATGGAAGAAAAAATCCATATTTTTTGAGTTGCCATATTGGGCAACAAACAAATTGAGGCACAATCTTGATGTGATGCACATAGAGAAGAATATTTGTGACAGTGTGCTTGGGACTTTATTGGATATACTTGGAAAGTCCAAAGATCATATAAGTTCTCGCTATGACTTGTATGAAATGGGGATACGTAAAGAGCTTCAACCTCTAAAAGATTGTGATACAGGAAATATCCATTTAGCTAAAGCTTGTTTCTCTATGACACCAGATGAGAAAAAGTTATTTTGCACCGTCTTAAAAGATGCCAAATTACCAAAAGGGTGTGCTTCTAATATATCAAGTCGTGTGCAAATTGAAGAGATGAAAGTATCATGATACAAAAGTCACGATGCTCATTTCATAATGCATTACTTGCTCCAGGTTGCAGTCAGAAAAGTGTTACCCAAGAATGTAGCTATGGTCTTGATTAGATTGGGGAATTATTTTAGAGCCACATGCAACAAGGTTATAAGAAGAAGCGATCTTGATAAGATGAAAGCAGAAATCATAGATATTGAATGTAAGCTTGAAAAGATTTTTCCTCCATCTTTTTTTGATATAATGACACATTTACCTATCCATTTAGTAGATGAAATTAAGCTTGGAGGCCCAACTCATTTGCGTTGGATGTATTCTACAGAGAGAACTATGTGTGACTTCAAGGGGCTTGTTCGTAATCGAAAAAATCCTGAAGGATCAATAGTAGAAGGTTTTTCAGCTGTAGATTGTTTGAACTTTATTTCCATATACCTACCTAATACGGTGAAGACAAAATTAAGTAGGTGTGAAATAGAGGATGATGAGTACATTCAAACAAAGAAAGGTGGTGTTTCACATTTATTTCCGAAGACAGGTCATCCAATTGGAAGTGAGAATATAAGGAAAGGCAAGATTTTTAACATGGAGCAGCATGAGTTGTTTGAAGCACATCGATATACTTTGTTCAATACAGGAGATGAACAAGTAGAGGCATTTATCAAGTAAGATAAAATACTCATGTTTTTAAACTTCATTTAGATGTTATGATAATGTATTTAAAATTTCTTTTCATTTATAAATACACATTGATTAAATTACATTACATGCTTACAGGGAACATAAGAGCTTAACTGATAATCGTACTAGAGGCAATGCATGGGTAAAAGCACAGGTCCATAGTAGAGAATTTGGTGATTGGTTTAGTGAAAAAGTTAAAAATATTGAAGTGTCCAATCATTTAAAATGGCTAGCTAAAGGGCCTAACTTTGTGGCAAAAAGATATACTGGATATTTCATTAATGGATATCGATTTCATACGAAGACACGGGATGCCCCTTGTAAAACTCAGAATAGTGGAGTGACTTTGTCAGCCACAACGGATAGTTTTGCTAGTGCTAGGGACCAAAATCCTGTTGATGGAATGGTTCTCTATTACGGAATAATTCAGGATATCATTGAGATTGATTATTGGGGTTGCTTTAGTGTTGTACTTTTTAATTGTGATTGGTTTCATAATGAAGTCGATGAATATGGATTGACTCGGGTATATTTCAACAAAAAATGTAGTACAAATGATCCTTTTGTACTAGCATCTCAAGTGCATCAAGTTTTTTATGTGGAAGACTCGGTTGAGAAAAATGTTTATTATGCAAGAAACAAAGTCCCTGTGGATTTGTATGATTTGGAGGAAGAGAATTGTCCTAATATTGAAGAAACATTTTGGAGAGAGCCTAATGATGATATTGGTTCATCAGAAAGATTAGTTGATGTAGATGTTAGATGGTCTAGAGAAGATCTTCCTGTTGATATCATCGATGCTCCTTCCATTGCACAACATTCACAAGATGAAGCTATGAAAACATCGGAAGAGGAGGATGACTTTGATGATACTGATTGGGATTGGATGGAAGTTGATGATTGACAAGGATCTTGTGGACTTGTTCGAATACATTATGTTTTCTTTTCTTATATTAAGTAATGAATATCATTTGAGTTGCATCATATAGATTATGAATGTTGAGTGAACTGTATTTTCTATCTCTTCTTTTTATTTCTATATATTTTTTTCATGTTATGGTAAGTCCTTTTTTTCTCTTATTGATCATTTTCATTCTTCTTCTTTTTGCAGTTTCTCTGAGCAATTTCAATATATTAGTGGACCAGCAAATCAGTAGGTTCTTATCTCTTATTAAGGTCCAACACTCCAGGTTCGTATCTCGTTTTTATGATTCTTTGAACACTTTTTCGCTATATCTCTCTTTGAGTACTTAATGTACATTCTATGAATGTGATTGAGTGCAGAAAATTTTATTGTGGACAGTAACAAACCTACTATGTGTGATTGTGGACAGTAACATACTTGCTGCTCTTATAATTCCACCAATTGGCTTCCTAAAAACACTCTAAATCTTGTGTGTGATTGTGGACAGTAACAGACCTACTGGATGTGATTCAGCTCTTTGTAATATCTTTGTAACTTTTTAGTTTCTTCTATTTTCACACAGGTCAGAATAGTCATAGCTATGAGTCAACAAGAAACTTAAAAAAGAACCAAAAAAGCCAAAAAGAAGACATTTGCTAAACCGGGATTGTTATCATTCTTGGCAAATAAGAAACGACGGTTATTGACAACAAATGAAATTATTAAAGAAATAGAGTGCGAGAAAGGACATCTGCTCAAATTAATTGGAGGACAACAATCAGTAGCACCACAATTTGAAGCAAAAATACAATTTGTCGAGGAGTTGCCTTTTGAAAATCAGCCTGTCGAGGAGCTGCCTGTTGTGCACCCTGTCGAGGAGCTGCCTCTTGAGCAGCCTGTCCAGGAGCTGCCTCTTGACCAGCATGGCAAAGATTTTCCTTTCGAGGATCAAGTGCAAATGAATTCTGTTACTCCTCAAACAAATGATCAACCTGAAGAACAAGGTAACATATAAGATTACAAACCTATTAAATGTATTCATAATTTTTAATTATATTTCTTTTATTTTCTTATAGCTGGAGTTCTTTCCAATCCAAATAAAAGAGGTAGAACGCAAATGCATGACGTTCATGCTCGAAAAGAACGTAAGTTGATCATACTGAATAGTCAAAATCAACCTGTTGGTCCTACGGATGATGTTGTCATAGAGCTAAGTAGCTTCCTAGAAACATTGGCTAGAAATGCGACTCTTTGCCCATTTGATATATTGGATTGGAGGAGCATGGACACTACAAAGGATTTGTGGGATTATACCAAGGTTTGTAGTTTACAATAATAAATTATTTGTAAAAGTATTTTACTTCTATTGGCTAATTGAATGACACAAAATTATAGGGGAAATATATTATTCCTGAAGCTGCGTACCATTGGGCTATGGTAACAATTTGAGATGCTTGGAGAAGACAAAGAAGTGATTTGAAGCTTAATTATTACGATCCATATGAAAATGATGCAGTTCGAATGGCAAAAAAGCCTGGTCATATTCCAGAATGTCAATTTAGAGAGCTACTCAAATATTAGAATTCTGAAAAATTCAAGGTAAAAATGTAGTTCAGAATATCAATTTTTTTAATAAGTAGCATTTGTATTATATAATGACTAATATTGACAGATTGTTATAAAGGAAAGACAGACTAATATTGACCTCGTCTAGTACACTATATAACACTAATATACCTTCGATTGACATTACTGATTCATTTCTTTGCAGAAAATGTCTGAAACAAATGCAAAGAATCGAAAAAAACTGATGAATCCACACACTGCTGGCAAAAAGAGTTTCGCTTTAGTTCGTAATAAGCTGGTGAGTTCTCTGATATATTATTTTTTAATGAAATTTTCTTTTGGATCTCTTCCAATGTGAGTTTAGTTTTTATATATATTTCAATTCGACTAGGAGAAAGATAAGGAGACAGTATCATCTAAGGATATCTTTGTGGTTACAAGAACAAGAAAACCTGGGCGATCGTACAAGGCCTCAAATGAAGATACTACTAGTAAAATTGTATGTGCCTGTCTATTTTAATTTTTTTTGTTGAGATCAATTATTTATTTCATAAGATTGTATTTGTTGGATATACTTTGGTAGGCTAAAATGGAGCAAATTGAAAAACAAATAAGCATAAATGGTGAGTTTGTTGATGCATTTTCAAGCGTCATGGGTCCTGAACATCCGGGACGTCTAAGACTATATGGCGCAGGAGTTACAAAGACTACTTTGAAAAAAAAAGTTGGCAATTGGGAATCAACTTTAAGTGCAACAACTGATGGAATGCAGGAAATGCAAGAGAGGATGCAGAAAATGGAGAAACAAATGGAGGAACAAAAGAAAATTGTGCGACAAGAAGTTATTGCAAATGTTATTGCACAACTTAAGTATGCGGGATTAATTGATCCTAACATATTGGCAGCATTGTCGACTCCTTCACCAAGAGAATCTACTTCTGTTCAAGGGGCTAAACAAGGTTGGTGTCGCTAATTCTATGTTTTGATTGGTATTTGTTGTTGCTACTTTCTATAGGATTAGAATGGAATAGTACGCTATTGATCTAAGGAAGTTGGGGAAAAGTTAGGCAGTGGGTCAAGAAGCAGTAAAAAATGTAGCCTGCTCCTCTTTCCCTTGAATTCTTGAAGCACTAGAAATTATTCCTGTGAAACTATCATTGGAAAATCCATATGAAAGGGTCTCAAGTTATTTGCTTAATGGATCACTCATTAGAGGGAAGAAACTGGACTGAAGGGGTTCCCTATGAGAAAACACCTGATTTTGACTTAAAACTGATGGGAAATGATTAACTGAAGTGGTGGTGAAGAAGCTGCCTTGATGATGATTACCAGAGGATAGGATTGTGTCATCTTGTAAAGACTGGAAATTGAGAAAATGCCCATGTGGGTAGCTCTGGAGATCACTTAAAAATGGAATCTTTAAACCATCAGATGATGAAAACAAGTTTGGGATGTCATAATTCACCTCTTGCTGTTTGTCTTGAACTCCACATTCAGAATTGGGAACACCTCTGTTTTCTTGGCTAAATTCTGGACTCTGTTCTTGATCAAATGAATACTGCATTTTTTTGGGATTTAGTTTAGTAGAGTGAAAATTATTAGGGAACTCACCAAGAGCATCAATTGCAGCTTTAGCTTCTTTAATCAGCCAATCAATAGCCTTACTTGGACGGTCATACCCAAGCCTATCTTGCACATCATAGAACTGAATTGCAGTGTTTGGTGAAAGCCTAACTCGTCGATCCTTCGGACCTTTTGCAGTTGAAACCTTACTGTGTCTGTCTTTCCTTCCCGTGGCTCGAATAATTCGGCCTCCATGGCCTTCTATAACATCTGTTTTAGCTCTCTTTGGCTTCATTCTTCTTGTCCCTTTGTTCAATTCTTGTTCGCTTACTGTGAAATTAGCCCATTTTTCTGGCTTTTTGCAGAGTGACTGTGGCATCTGCTGGTTTTGGTAGTGACTTTGAAGGTTTCCAATGTCATTTTCTTCAAAAACTTCCTCTTCCTCCTCCTCTTCTTCTTCTCATCCATCTTCTTCTTCTGATACTTGAAACTGATGATTCATTGGAGGATTCAGATTGGAAGTAATCTATTCTCTCTTCCACCTTTTATCTTTTTAGTGTTGGAAACTTGATTGGCATGTACTTGATTTCCAAGTTTTAGGGTTGAACAATTCTAAAAGCTAATGCCTGCAGGTTGTAACTACATGTGTACTTGTTAATTTCCAAGATTTGAGGTTTCCTAAATTATTTATATTTTTTTTCTGATTGTATGTGGGTGACGAAATCGAAGAAGGCAATGAAAGCAATAGTGAAGACTTAACATAGGAGCTGAAGTATATATTGATGTAAACTTTATTGATGTTCTAGAAATCATATGTTTTTGAAGATTGAAAATTCTATGGCATGTGTTTCACCTTTTTTGAATGCTATAAAATGATTTGTACATTTTGCTTTAATTGATATTAGAATCACGGATATTGAATTCTAATTAAGGTAATGAACATTTATTTTCGTTAACGATTTATGTGTATTTTTATGTTATAAAATTTATTCTCATGGATGATTTAGTATATAGCAGGTATATATAGCTTACTAATATTGCATTAGAATTGTTGCATATAGCAGGTAATAACCGTTGCAATAGGCATTAAGCAACAGTTCTACAATTGTTTAAAAGTGTTGCAATATCCCTATAACAACCGTCGCAATTGAGTGAAATGGTGTGTTGAATCGAAAAAAACTGTAGCCATAGCCTTAACAGAACTGATGCATAAACCTCTATTACAACGGTTAAAAACTGTACCAATACATACATAACCATTTGCAATTAATTCAAATGATAACCGTGGCAATAGGTCAACGTATGGCTACGGTTATATGAACTATCGCACAGAACCGTAGCAACAGCTCTATTGCTACGCGATCTGTTGTAGCGGTTGGTGTAACCGTAGCCTTAGACCTATGGCTACGGTAGTAACGTCAATTGCAATGATAGGTGAACCGTGGCAGTAGACCAAATTTCTAGTAGTGTACAATTGAAAATAAAATGAAGAAATTAATCTCTTCGGGCTGAGGCGCGGATATCTTGCTCTCTTTAAGGAGATTCAAGCCCACTGCAGCAAATGTTTTTCACCGGTCGAGTAGTAGTCCTCTTTGACTTGTCCCCTCTAGGATACAATAGCCTTCACAAAAAATAACTCAACAACTCTGGACAAGAGTTGAGTTCAAAGCTTCACAAAAAAGAACACCTCCCTTCAACTAATAAGAACTCTCTTTTAGACTAACTCTTTCACTCTTTGTTTTCTCTCGTGTTTTTTGTGTATCTCAAACCAAATGAAGACCACCACTATTTATACTACAAGAAGTCTTCCTAGCAATGAATAGGAAGATAATGGAGGTAGTAAATAGTGAAGATAATGGCCTTAGGAGTTTCATAGTTTAAATAGGAGTTACATAGGTTACAATAGGAGTTACATAGATAACATATGTTACAAACAGTAATGGAGGAATTAAGAATGAAATACAATGATGGACAACCAATGCTATTGGATGATGTAGAAGTTATCCATTCCAATGTTTATTGGAATATTTTTATCTCACAAAGAATTCAACCAATAAAGCCAAAAGTAATGGCATTACATGGCTACCAAGTCAAAGATGAGTAGCATGATTAAATTGGTAGTTTAAAACTCAAATGCCTACCAATGGTCATTCTTATAACTCCAAAATAAAGAAATTTAATATGTTAAATATTAACATTAAAATGCTAATAATCTAACAACCCCCCACTCATTTTAATATTTAGATAAGAGAATATATCAGTTGAAGGAAGACTACTATGCATAATGAAGGTGCATTGAACCTCCACTTAGTGAAACAGTAACTTTTATTCCAGAATCGTAGTGGTCTCAGACTTGAACTATGACTGCTTAAGGGAAATAAAATATCACTGCTCACACATAATAATCAAGGTGTTGACATGAGCTTTGACAGCCAGCACGTTATGGCCATGTGTTATCCCGGTTTCATGAGTGCATTTGAGAATAAGCCCAATTCTCATAAGAATTGACCTACTTCCACACATCACATAGGTGTAATCTGTCAAGAGTGCTCATGTAAGATTAACACTTCACCCATACGGGCTACAAATATTCATTAAGAGTTTTATCAACTCAACCTTCACAAACTACAGGAAACAATGCACTCACATCATAGGGAGGGAAAAAATAGTGCATTTTTCACAACAAGTCATCATATGATTAGTTTTTCCCTTTGAACGTGGTTATAGGATCTCTAGTCCCCAGGTTGGGTTTCTTCATATATGACTCAAGGATTTGTAGGCTTCAATCCCATCCCCCTCGATATGCTCTAGACCTTTTAAGGCCTTCGTAAGAGGATCTGCAAGATTATCACAAGAATTGACATAATCAATATTAATGGTACCATTTGTCAAATACGATCTTACATTACTGTGTTTCCTCCTTAGAGGTCTGGATTTACCGTTGTAATAACGATTTTGAACTCTACCAATTGCAGCGATGCTATCACAATGAATTAAAATTGGAGGAATTGGTTTTTCAAAATAAGGAATTTGAAACAATAAATCTCTTAACCAATTCGCTTCCTCACTAGCTGAAGCTAAAGCAATTAGTTCAGCCTCCATGGTAGAGTTAACAATTATAGTTTGCTTTTTTGATCTCCAACAAACAGCACCACCACCTAAAGTAAAGACATAACCAGTGGTAGAACAGGAATTAGCTGACAAAGTGTTCCAATACGCATCACAAAAGCCTTCAAGTACCGCAAGATATTTTTTATAGAACAAACCACAATTTTTCGTTCCAATTAAATATCTCATAACTCTTGTTATAGCATGCCAATGTTCATTACCTGGCTTGCTTGTAAACCTGCCAAGTACTCCTACTGCATATGCAATATCAGGCCTAGTACAATCAGTCACATAACTCAAACTTTCGATTATACTAGCATATTCCTTTTGATTTATTACATCATTTTCACTTTCAACAGGAAATAAGTGAACACTTGAATCAAAAGGAGTAGCAACATGCTTGCAATCATGAAAGTTATATTTTTTCAAGATTTTCTCAACATAATGTGACTGGTCAAGGAAAATCCCCTCACATGTTCTTGTTATTTTTATTCCAAGACTAAAATTTGTCTCACCAAGATCTTTCATATCAAAATGGCTTCTAAGAACATTTTTAGCTTCATCAATAACATTCATGTTAGAGCCAAATATCAACAAATCATCAACATATAGGCAAATGATCACATGTGAATTATTCCAAGACTTACGATATATGCACTTATCACACTCATTTGTTTTAAAATCATTTTCAATCATGCGGGAATCAAAATTTTCATGCCATTGCTTTGGTGCCTGTTTCAAGCCATATAGGGATTTAGTAAGTTTACATACTTTGCTTTCTTGGCCTGCTTCAACAAAACACTCGGGTTGATCCATATAAATTTCTTCATTTAGGTCTCCATTTAGAAAAGCAATTTTTTCATCCATTTGATGAATTTGCAAATCAAAAATTGCAGTCATAGCAACTAAAAGTCTAATGGATGTAATTCTTGTTACCGGAGAAAAAGTATCAAAAAATTCTAGGCCTTCTAGTTATTTAAAAATTTTTGTAACTAGCCTAGCCTTGTATTTATCAATAGAACCATCCGGTTTTAACTTTTTTCTTAAGACCCATTTGCAACCAATTGTTTTACAACCCGGTGGTAAATCAACTAACTTCCAAGTTTTATTAGGAATTGTAGATTCCATTTCATCATTTACAGCCTCTTTCCAAAAAATAGAATCATGTGAAAATAATGCTTCTTTCAAAGTTAGAGGGTCATTTTCAATATTAAACACATAAAAATCAGGACCAAAATCTTTTTCTACTCTAGCTCTTTTACTTCTTCTTAACTCAAAATCACCAACTTCTTTATTTTTCAAAGTTGAAGTAGAAGAACTAGGTAGTGACAAAATATTTTGTTCAATCCTTTGACCCCCACTATTTTTAGTATCAAAAGGAAATTTATTTTCATGAAAAATAGTATTACCAAATTCTATTACAATATTATCTTCAAGATTAGAAAATCTATAGGCTGTACTATTTGAAGCATAACCAAGAAAAGCACAAGTAGTAACTTTCTTACCCAACTTTGTAATCTTGGGATCCATTAGCCTCACAAAGGCTAGACAACCCCAAACTCTTAGATATCCCAAACTTGGCTTGTACCCTTTCCACAATTCAAAAGGTGTCAACTTAGACTTTTTATGAGGCACACGATTCAACACATAACAAGCAGTTAAGATAGCTTAACCCCAAAAATATAAAGGTGCATGCGACTCAATTAGCATGGCATTAGTCAATTCAACCAAAGTTCTATTTTTCCTTTCTGCTACTCTATTAGACGAAGGAGAGTAAGGAGGAGGAGTTTCATGAAATATTCCTAATGATCTAACAAAAGAATTAAACTCATTTGATTCATATTCACGGACGCTATCACTTCTAATTCTTTTTATTTTTCTTCCAAACTGATTTTCAACCTCATTGAGATAAGTTTTGAAATTTTCAAAAGCATCACTTTTATTTTTCATCAAGTAAACATATGTAAACTTAGAAAAATCATCAATGAAAGTGATAAAATATATATTACCTCCACGAGTTAGAATTCCACCAAGTTCACAAATATCAGTATGAACTAATTCTAACAAATCGGTTTTTCTTTCAACTTGAAAATTAGGTCTTTTAGTGATCTTGGCTTTACTAAAAGCCTCACACTTTTCAAAATTCTTTTTAACCATTGGGATTAATCCTAAACTACTCATAATTCCAACATAACGATCATTAATATGACACAAACGAGCATGCCAAAAATTAGTAGAAGAAAACATATAAACAGAAGTAGAAGTTTTATTCATTTGAACATTCAACTTAAACATCCCATCACATGCATACCCATTCCCCACAAAAATACCTTTCTTCACTCTTACATATTGATCAGATTCAATAATCTGTTTAAAGCCTGCATTATTAAGAAGAAAACTAGACATCAAATTTTTTCTCATAGAAGGAGTATAAAGTACATCTTTCAATGTTAATACCCTTCCAGAAGTAAAACACAATTCAACATCTCCCTTTCCAAGCACTTGAGTAGTGTGAGCATCACCAAGCAAGATGGTTTTGGGCTTCTCAAAATGAGTATATTTTTTAAACCAGTCTTTGTCATAACAGACATGACGGTTTGCACCAGAATCAGCCCACCATCCATCAACATTCTCAACCATGTTTATGTTAGTAATCACCGCCACAAAAGGTTCTTCAGTAACGTTTGCCTGAGGGTTAGGACCACGTTTCCTAAATCTGCAAAATCGAGCAATATGCCCACTCTTGCCACAGACAAAGCATGATCCCTTTTCTTGAACTTGTTGATTTTGTGCTTGGTGATTTTCACCATTATTTTTCTTGGGAGGTCTACCATTATTTTTCTTGAATTTTTTCTTCTTAGGCTTTAAAGAAGTACTTTTGTGAGTTTTAGGAGTAGCATTATTCGAAGTAATTAAATTTACGTTCGATGTGGTGTTGTTCTCTTCTGTTTGTAAAAGTGCATCTTGGCCCCTTGCTTCTTCTTCCATGCGGATTTTCATTATCAAGGTTTCAAGAGAGGTTTCCTTTTGTTTGTGGCGCATAGTTTTTTGAAATTCCTTCCAAGAAGGTGGAAGTTTATCCACTATGCCACAAACAATAAGGTTATCTCCAATTTTAACCTCTTCGGACCTAAGCTCTCCAACAATCATAATGAAGTCTTGAGCTTGATCTACCACTGATTTGTTGTCCACCATTTGAAAACGAAAAAATCTACTAGCTGCATATTTTTTCGCTCCAGCCTCTTCGGTATCATACTAACTCTACAATGCCTTCCAAATTTTCTTTGCACTAGAGTAAGTTCTATCATAATAATCATAAAAATTATCAGATAGACAATTAAGAAGATAATACCGACACTTATAGGAACCACAATTGTACTTTTCCACTTTCTCTAGATGATAAATAGTTTCATCATCATTCATAGTGGTGATATCTTCTTTATTTGGATTCTTCTTAGTTAATACATAAGAAACATTGAGAAGACGTAAGTAGAAAAGTACTTTACCCTTCCATCTCTTGAAATGATTACCATTGAACCGAAATGGCTTGTTAAGATCTTCCCATCTTGACATCCGCAGTTTTTTCAATTGTAGCCATCTTTGAATCTCCTTAAAATTGTTAGTGAAAAAACTTACAAGATAATAAAATTGCAAGATTACAATTGAAAATAAAATGAAGAAATTAATCTCTTCAGGCTGAGGCGCAGATATCTCGCTCTCTTTAAGGAGATTCAAGCCCACTGCAACAAATGTTTTTCACCGGTCCAGCAGCAGTGCTCTTTGACTTGTCCCCTCCAGGATACAACAGCCTTCACAAAGAATAATTCAACAACTCTGGACAAGAGTTGAGTTCAAAGCTCCACAAAAAAGAACACCTCCCTTCAACTAATAAGAACTTCCTTTTAGACTAACTCTTTCACTCTTTGTTTTCTCTTGTGTTTTTTGTGTATCTCAAACCAAATGAAGACCACCACTATTTATACTACAAGAAGTCTTCTTAGTAATGAATAGGAAGATAATGGAGTTAGTAAATAGTGAAGATAATGGCCTTAGGAGTTTCATAGGTTAAATAGGAGTTAAATAGGTTACAAAGAGTAATGGAGGAATTAAGAATGAAATAAAGTGATGGACAACTAATGCTATTGGATGATATAGAAGTTATCCATTCCAATGTTTATTGGAACGTTTTTATCTCACAATGAATTCAACCAATAAAGCCAAAAGTAATAGCATTACATGGCTACCAAGTCAAAGATGAATAGCATGATTAAATTGGTAGTTTAAAACTCAAATGCCTACCATGGTCATTCTTATAACTCCAAAATAAAGCAATTTAATATGTTAAATATTAATATTAAAATGCTAATAACCTAACAAATATTTTTTAAGAACAAACTATAATTTATTTATATTTTTTTTTGGGGGGGGGGGAGGTAAGGAGGTTGGCTGGGGTGGGGGTGAATTAAACGTAAGAAATTAAGTTTACAATGTTTTTTTTAAAAATAAATTTAAAATTTATTTTTTAAATTAAAAAATTGTAATAAGAAGTGTTTTTTTTAACTCTCCTCTAGGAGCTCCCACCCCTTTTGTTCCCTTGGTGACTCGAACTCGAAACTTTCGGGTTTGAAGTAAGGGTGCTTATCATCGGAGTAACTCCCTCTCGTCTGTAATATGAAGTAGATAAGAGTTTTGAAAAATATTTTTTTTAATATTTGAAAGGAAGTCATTTTCCTTAAATTTGAGGAAAATAAGTTAATTTGGAAAATATTTTCCAAACCATTTTATCCAACCTAACATGAAAAAATGAAAAGTATTTTTCAAAAATTGTTTTCCTTTGTACCAAACAGATAATTACAAAACAGGACCAAAACAATGTTATGCAATGTGAAGCTATGTTTGTTATAAGAGTTAGAGAAATTAGTTTGATTAAGTTAACTAGTCTGGGTAGTATGTTCATTGTAATGCTAAACTATATATAGTGGAGCTAAGCCTACATTGTAAAGGAGTTCTCATTTTCATTCTGTAAATTCAATATATAGTTTTACTTTTCTTCTTAGCTTAGGTTTACGAAGTTCACCACTGCTAGAGCTTAACATGGTATCAGAGCATTGATTTGTCTTCGATCCCTCTATTTTTTGATGCAATTGTAGATCCGCTGCAGAGCTGTTGCATTGTTCTAGAAGTATGAAGGATTCAAGCTTTGTTTCTGTTGATTGAGAACTCAATTTGTCCATTAAACTACTCGGGGCTCCCCATAGTTTAGTAAAAGGGAGGGGACATTTGTTTCTTCATCCGGGGTTTCATTCATTATGAACTAAAAAGTGATTGGCTGATTAATGAGGTCTTAAAAACGTCATATAATTCATGATCGATCATTCCGTTTTTGCTTTCACTGAGAAAGGAGGATGTATAGTGGTGGATTCTCAGCATCCTCTGCACTTACAAGAGATTGATACTCCAGGTAGCTCTTTAGTTTCAATTGAGCTTACTGGATGTGAGAATTATTCATTGTGGAGTCGATCTATGAAGATATGTCTCTTTTGTAAAGGAAATGAGGCTTTATTGATGGCAAAAGTTCCAAAGATAAGTTTAATATAGGGCTGCATGATCTTTGGGAAAAATGCAATGCTATTGTGTTATCTTAGATCATGATTCTTGCAAGTCGAGAGTTACTAAGTGACATAGTCTATTCTAGTAATGCTCAACAAGTGCTGACTGATCTAAATGACACTACTATGGGAACTATATGTATGATCCACAGTTCTACACTGCATACTAATGATAATAAATGGATAATTAATTCTGGAGTATCTAAACATAATCTAGGAATGTTAACTCATCACACTAGCTTTGATGATTCTCCAATACACAGAGTTCATTTACTAACTGGTTTAAGTGCTCAAGTCAACAATGTTGGTTCCTCTCAGGTTCTTGGAAGGACTAAGATCTCTAATATCCTTCACATACCTGCATTTCACCATAACCTACCGTCTATTCCTAAGTTAACAAGAGAATTGAACTGACGTGTTCTCTTTTATCCTGACTATTAAGTGTTTCAGGACCTCTCAAGTGGGATTGTGAGGGGGACTGTCGGACTGGAGAATGATCTATATGTGGTTTAGGCTGATTGTCAGTTGAAGTCTCACAAGAGTCAAGTTTATTGTGTTGATGTAATGAAGATTCGTATCTATGGCTTAAAAGACTAGGTCATGTACCTATTTCTTTGGCATAATACATAAATGTGTCATTTAACTTGACTTCGAATTACATTTATGTCCTTCAACTTAAGGTATGCACAAGTATACACTTAAACTTGTATAAAGTTAAACAAATAGACAACATGTCATCCTACATGTCATTTTTTGTCCTACGTGGTGTCATGTAGGACACATGTGTTTATTTATATTTAAAAGTTGGGTAGTTAAAGTGGTTGTTTGTGCATTATGAAAGTTGGAGATCAAAGTTAAAATTTGAAGTCAAATTTAAGATCCAATGTATATATTATGCCTATTTCTTTCCTATGATTCGTAATGTTTTCTCATCCTCTGTTAAAGTTTTAAAGACTGACAATGGGTGTGAGTTTTTCAATTCACAAGTCACAACATATATATATAACTATTTGACTCATACATCTATTCAATTACTATATCAAAGTACCATACCTTTAATCTTTCTAATATAAAAACAAACCAAATAACTACACAACATCATGATTCTTCTCCTCTTCTTCAACAGGCAGGGAAACGTATTCTCCAGCAGCAGTTTCCGGCATCAATTTCTCATCGTTTAATTCCTTGCAGTGCATATACAACACCACGTTCGCCACAAGATACTGATTCATCAGTATATATCCCATCACCGAAGTACACGCAGTGAGCAGTATCCTCCACGTTTCGCCTCTGGCTAAAATCATGGCACACCAAACCACCATCCATACAATCACAGTCCCGTAATACATAAGTATCTTTAAAGCTACCCATCTCTCCCCCTTTACTAACTTCGCACTTCTCCTTAGTGTCTCGTAACCTTTCTTCGATTCAATCACTGTTATCACATAAGCTAAACACCAGTTCACTTGTAGCCAAATCAGAATCGGTACAATCACGACCAACCAGAAAATAACCAAAAATAACAAGTGATCCGAGTTTGATCCGAGCTCAATTAGTTCAAGAGATTGAAGAATTCGCACTACAAACACCAAAATCAGGGCGAAAAGAAGAGTGATTGAAATGAAAATGGTTTGCGAAACAATGAAAGTGGAGAGAAGAGGGAAGAAGGAATTTCTCATAGATTTAATAGACGAAAAGACCTTGATCGGTCTATCATAGATCACTTGAACCGCGCTATATGCAGTAGTGCCTACTCCACAGATGAAAAAGAATGTCAAAAACAGAGCATACAGTACAAGTAGAATAGTTTCGAAACTTGAAATTGCGAAAAGTTGAGGAAATTGAAGTTGAGCATAGCTAGTGAAATGATAATCGGGGTGAAATATGGCAAGTTCGAAAGAAGGATAGAGAATTAGAGAGAGAATGATAGGGAAGAGGAATAGGATTGAAATAGCATGAAAATGGCGAACATGAGATCTGAATATTGCTCTGGTTGATTCAATGATTTCATTCCATAAGCTACATCCATTTTCTGATGAAGTATTCATTATGATGAATTGCTATGAAACTCTAATTCTTTTTTTTTGTAGTTCATATAGGCTATTGGCAATGACTTTTTCTTCATGGACTAACTCTGAGATCAAGAAACATTCAATTAAATAATTTTCCACACGCAAAATAATAATTATTCTCACTATTTTAATTTATTTGTCTGAGTTTAATTTAACATCGAATTTAACAATGTAAAATTACATTTGAATCTTATGATTTTGATCTGTTGAATATACCAACATATCCTTTAAATTAGGGGTGTGCATTCGGTTTTTCGATTCGATTTTATACTATTCGGTTTGATTTTTTGATATTTGATTTTAAAGAAGTGTAACCCAATCCGAACCAAAATAAAATTTGATTTGGTTTGATTTTTCTCTTTTTGGTTTGGTTACTTTTTAATATAAATCACAAGTAAAGATGTCCAAACATAAGAAAATAAATTAAATCATAATGAAAATAACTAAAAAAGGACAAAAGTGATTATCCAACTTAATTCTATATATAAATTTGCTTTTTCCATTTTTCTTTCTCTAAATCCGAAATCAAACAAAAAAATCAAAAAAAAAATTATAAATTCAAAATCAAATCAAGAATCCAAAAAATCAATTCAAATTAGAATTCGATTTGATTTGATTTGATTTTTCAATTTAATCCAATTAGTGTACACTTCTATTTTACACTTGTGACTTAAAAAGTTTAAATTAAAAAGTTAAACAAAATAGAAAAGAGACATTTTTTTTTTCTAAACAGACTTAAAAAACAAATAAATTGAAATGAAAGAGGTAATATATAATTTTCAACACGCTTTAATTTGAAAATAATAATTTTCCACATTGGCATTGAAAGTTGCTTCTTATCACCAGCTATCGTGATAGTAATGTTTTATCCCTATCTTAAAACCGTAGTTTCAACGCAATCTTTTTATAAATTTAAATTATACATCACTGGATGGAAAAATTATTTATCTATATATGTTTACGTGCAATGATCTCATCTAAAAATACTTATGTGGGTTTGATTTTTTTTTTATGGGTCAAGTATATGAAAATTCTTTTTAATATGAGTGTCAATGAGATTTGATCTAAAAAAAATTGTCTGCTTAGATACTATGTTGAAGTATGTGGTTCTTCAATAAGAATTCATGAACAGATTCCTAAAGTTGTTGGTTTTTCCCCTCAAGTTTCTTAACTACGTCAATTTCCTATTGAATTATAGAACCATCAATAATTTGTTCCTTTTAAACATTGTTGTGCATACCTTAGCAATATTGATCCATAGTTGTCTTATAATTTAACTTAAGACTTTGTCTGAGTGACCTAAGGTTTCTATATCCTTTCATAGTTGTTAAACAAAGTTCCTTAATCCATGTTTAGGAGTTTTGAATTATTCATATTGGTTCAAAACATGAATATGGTAAAAGTTTTAAGTTAGGCAATTTAAGCTTCAAGACTAACTAGTAAATTATTCAATATTCTTTCACAGTTAGTATTTAGCTTTCAAATCCACGCTTAAGTTATTGTGTTGATTTTCCAACTCTAAAACTTGACCTCGAATAAAATGTTAAGTTAAAATTATTATTTTGATAGTATAGCATTTGACTTATTTCGTACTTGGAATAAGATGAGTGTACACGTGTCAAAAGAATTTAGTTATTTCAAAACAAGATTTTTTACAAGTAATCTAAGTTTCATTTATAAAATTAGCCAAACTTTCAAATCCGTCGATAAATCGCGTGTTTGCGGATTCTCTAAGATGCCTAAACCCTTTCTTAGAGGATTATTTGAACCCTAACCCAAAACTTTGGTTTATTTAAATGTTTTTTCTTTTAAAAATTCATTTCAAATGGTTTTCTTAATTTTTACATAAAAATGAAGTTGCAACTCTCAAATTACAAATTATTCCAAAAAAATTTAATAAAATTGGCCGAAATTGCGAAATCGGCTTCGAAACCTTCAGTTTTCGAAATCGGATCATAACAGAAACATTCAGTTCAATGGCTAAGATGATCTCAATTCGAGTTGTACTAGCCATGACAACCTAATATGGTTGGAAACTATGGCAACTTGAGGTGAAGAATGCTTTCTTATATGGAGAACTTGACAAAGATATTTGTATGGAGCAGCCACCCGGGTATGTTTCTAACTTACATCCTGATTATGTTTGCAAACTTAAAAAAGCACTTTATGGACTCAAGCAAGTTCCACGAACATGGTATCAGAGTCATAGTCATTTTTTGACTTTTGAATTTTATTAAAGATCGGGTTAGTGGTAGATTCAATTGGTTTGTCGTTATGGATTTTAGCGGTCGTTAAAATGGACTGGGGATGGAGTTGTTGAATAAGTCCAATTACAAGGTATGGAAGACATGTATGGAATCATAACTTGTGGGATGTTGTTGATGGGAATGACACAAGTTCTCCTACTGACAGACCGAAAAATAGCAGTGCATACAAGAAGTGGAAGCAGGTTAAGAGGATAATCTCCTCCGATTTATTTGATCACATTATAAAGTGCAAATCAGCTCACGATATATGGAGGATCCTCGATTGCTTGTTCAACAAGAAGATTGAAGCTCGGTGGCAGATATTGAAGAATGAATTGACAAATACCACTCAAGGTAATATATCCCATTTGCGACGTTGATTCAAGGATGGGCTCAACAACCATCGTTGGAGGAATATGAAAATTTGTTGTCGTCACAGGAATTACTAGCCAAGCAGTTGGCTAGTGTGTTTGTCAAAGACGGAGAAGGAGATGCTCTTGTAGCTAACAAGAGAAACTTCAAAGGAAAATCAAGAGATATGTCGCACTCTCGATCCTCGGGTGATCCTGAAAAGAAGGAAGAGCCTTCTAACTATTATGGCAAAAAGCCTCTTAGATGTTATCGATGTGGAAACATAGGACACATAAAAAGATATTGCCGAGCCAAAAAAAGCAATATGACATAAAAAGTTGCTGAAGAAGAAGAAGAGTGGGAACAATGTTTAGCAGCTTAGGCTCGAGCAATAGTTGCCAAGATTTCCATCAATCTTGAAAGAGAATGGATCGAGGATTTAGAATATAATATATTCGATCACTTGGAGAAGCAAGAAAATGACATTGTCGGCACGAAGAAAGAATTTTTTCCAAGTGGTGATATGGAAGCTTCTATTGAAAAAAATCAAAGAAGAAGGTCTCGAACATGCAATATCTAAAACTACATGTGCTAGTGGCGACCTTTATAGTAAAAGCATTGATGGAGAAGTATTGAAAGCGAAAGTATTTGGTCAACCATCTGCAATATCAAGGCCAATGAATGACTCGAAGCAATTTGCGAAAGCAGATGGAGAAAGTAAAGATCAAATAGAGAATGAAATTGATATTGAAGTCTCAAGGACAAAGGATATGATCTTTGAAAGCCTTGAAGTTGCCAACAAATATATTAAGGAGATGATAAGAGAATATGACAATAGATCCTATGTTGGTTTGAGACTTCACATGAAATTGATAGTGCTCCTCTCGATAATATAATTGTTGAGAAGTGGAGAGAAAGGGGGAGTTTGAAAACTCAACAAGGAGATAATCTACATGGATCAACTGATGGTGAAAATTCTTTATCATTTGAAAAAAGAAGAGGAGTCCGGAAGAAAATGCTAAGATTGTCACCAAGACGTGACTCAAAGCTTCGTTTGAGTTCTTCCACAACAAGTGTGGGGTAGTTTTGAAAATCACTTTAAGGGGGAGCGTGAAAAATGATAAAGTTGATTTTTAGAATATGATAGATTGTTCTAGTAATGTTTCTAGAATACTGTAGGATAATATTTAAGATAAAAAATATCTAGATATCTAGAAGATAAAGTTTCACTAGAATTTTCTTTGTAGAAGTCTCTAGAAGAATTTCTAGAACCATACATCAACAAGTATAAATATGAATGGTCTTTTACATTTGTAAGCAATTCAAATCAAGTAGTCTTCTTCTATATCAAAGTACTTTTATCCACAATACTCTTTCTCCTTTCTAGCTTCCTCTTCCTTAGCTGAATCTAGATTTTTCTTTTAGTATATATATCAAAGATATTTATTCTACCCAATTCCACAAAGTTCTAATAAATATCTAAGATATTTTTATATCTCAAGAAAATCATCTTTATTTTTCACAATATATACTAATACAAATAGAGGGTAAAACGAATACTTTTTGCTACAACATATCGAAACAATTGAACCCCTTTGATATAATTGAAGATTCTATTGTGGAGGCAAAGGGCCATAGTTTCAAAAGATGTTTGCGAAAAATATCACACCATGTTAAGAGATACGTATTCATTGACAAATTCATCGTCTCCCATCTTCAAGTCGTAGCAATACGTATACAACACAACTTTTCCAACAAGATATTGATTCATCATAATATATCCGACTGCAGAACTTTGAAATATCTGCAATAATATGACCTTTAAGAACCTCCATTGTTCGCCCTTTGCTGTACCCATGGTGACTAAATACGGAACAACCACCCAATGAACATCCTGTTATTGGTAGTTTTGATGATTTGACAAACTTAGGGACCTCATAAAGGTACCGAGCTTCTTACTTGAGTATTGCAGGTTCTTACTTGAGTATTGCAGGTTTCTTATTTGAGTATTGCAGATGAAACAAACCCAGGGACCTTATAGAGGTACTAGGCTCTCATGATGATGAGCCAGTCGACTGCCAGCTGGAGATAGTACAGAAAGTAGGTGCACACTTCCCGATGGCGTTAGAAAGTGTGACCTTTCCAACCAATGGCAAAGAAGTTTAGGAAAGTGACTTGTCTATACAAAGACACTTTCCTAAACACTTTTTGGTAGTTTTTGCAACTTGATAAAAACTTTTCAAGAACTCTTGCAAAGGCTACTACCAAGCAAAGGCAGAATCATTCCAAGAACAGCAGAAATCTCTGGAGCTTTTAGTGTAGCTGTTTAGGAATATATTCTCTTGTTCTTATATTGTAAACTATTCCTGAAACTATAAAGGAATCAGTGGGTAGTATTGAAAGTCTAAGTTATCTAAGTGGGATAGCTTAGTGGGTAGATTCATTTCTACTTAGGCTTGTTAAGCAATAGAGGACTATTGCTTAACGG